TCGTATTCTTTGCAGCATTCAGCATTCCTATTCTTCCTTAGTGTTTTGTTATGTGTTTTTTATGCACAGGGAAAAAAACACAAAATCAACTACACACTATATCTCAACCCCACCAATAGTTTTGTGAATGGTTTTATTATTCCTCCTTTTCAGATAAGGAAACTGAGACTCAGAAAGTGGTAGTGATTTGAACCTGTGAGTTCTTTGACCTCAGAGCTCTTTTCTGTGTGCCTCAGAAAGCCAGGTTGAATGCCTTGTGTCAAGTTGGACCTGGCTGGTATTCTTCATGTTAAGCTAATTTGTAAGCTTTATGAGCTTGTATCCATGTTTTTCTTGTCTCCTCCCCGCCCCCGAAGCTTCTTGCTTCACAGCCTGGAATAAAAATAAACCAAGGGCTATTTAGAGCATTCTTTCATATCAGCACTTTTAGAGCCACCCGTGATTTGACAAGAGTCACAGATCTGAGAAGTGAATGTAGAGGAGGCAAGAGATGGACCCTACTAATCTGGCTGATAGTGATTTCCATATAGAAAGGGGGCAGGAAGGAGGCTGTCCTGGCAACAGTATTTGCTTACAACGGCTAAGAAGCAAATTCTGCTAACGGGTCGGGAGACCACAAGCCACAGGGCAGGGACAGGTTTGCAGGGGTCCATGGTCCAGAAGGCTGTCTGGGAGTAGCTGGGTTCACTGGAGCATCCTATCTGCATAAGTTTCTAGGTGTACCCCACTGACTGTTACAAAAGAAACTGTTTAACTGCAGCAGTTTTTCCATGGAGCTTGAGACATTCATCCACCCTGCAAATACCAAGTGCCTACTCTCCAGGGGAGGTCATGTCCACTGGGGAAGTAGAGAAGTAAGTAGGGGATTACAAAGCAGTAAGAAGTGCTGTGACAAGAACTTATAACTTAAGCACAAGATGCTGTGAGAGCACGGAAGGGCAGTTGCCTAAGTCTTTAAAGATAGTCTTGTGGTCAAGATTGAGAAATGCTGGTTGCTAGAACAGTCAGAAGACTGCAATAAGTTAAAAAAAAAATCATAATCATACTGGGCATCTGTTTGGTTTTATGTATTACTCTGCTTACAACTCCTAGAAGATAACTTAATCACGCACACACCCCACCTCCGCTTAGAAATGAGGAAACAAGCCGGGCTCAGTGGCTCAACCTGTAATCCTGCACCTTTGGGAGGCTGAGGTGAGTGGATTGCCTGAGCCCGCGGGTTCGAGACCCGCCTGGGCAGCGAGACCTCATCTCCACAATAAATCAAAAAATCAGCCGGGCGTGGTAGTGCATGCCTGTAATTCCGGGTACTTCACAAAGGGAATACAAACCAAGCCTCTTATTTCCACAGTCCTGGCTCTTTCCAGAATTACACCAGCACTCCACCGTAGCTGCCTCAACCCAGAAAGTGTTGGGTATAAATTGGGTACACATGGTGAAATCTAACAGCGCCTCAGCATCTTCACTTCGAGGTGACTTGAGTGCACTGGGAGGTACTGAGATGAAAATTCAAGAGTCAGGATTTCCTGTGAAGTGAGTGGAACGTAAAAGGGAGCGTGGAGCCCAGATGAGTCACATATTTGGCCTGGGAGCACCACCTAACGCTGGGCACCTGGATGCCCAAGCCTTCAATCAGGGAGGCAAGGCGGTAGGGTTACGCACGCAGCGCCACGCCTCTGTCTCAGCAGCCCAGCGGGAGCGCCTAGCCCGTCTCGGCGTCCAGGAGAAGAGGGAGGCGACTCGGGACAGTCGGCTTGCTGACATTCTGTTCCACAGCTTTCAGAGTGAAGACCTGGGCCAGGCAGACAGGTCAGGGGCAGCCAGAGCAGGAACTGCAGACCCGAGACAGGAGGACAGTTACAACCGCTCGCAGTGGGGGCGGGAAATCCCGCGCGGAGGCTCACGTTCTCCGCCTTTGTCCCGCTCTCATTGGTTGAAGCTAGATTGAGAGACGACTCCAGGCCCCACCCAAAAAGCAAACCCATCCTACATCCTCATTGGCCAGATCAATTCGGAGGCAGCTTTCTGGTCCCGCCTACGGGCTCGCACCGCACCCTAATTGGATGGTCATGATCGCCCAGACACAGACTCCGCCTCACCTCTGCATTGGGCAGCTCGGCCCTAGGGGCGGTTCCAGCGCGTTCGCCTACCGGCTCTGTGCTTAACTGGAAGGGCGGGTTCTTTCGCAGACGCAAACCCCACCTTGCGTTCCCATTGGCTGTTCGGTGGTTCCGATCCCGCCCCAGCACCGCCCCCTGCCGCCCATTGGCCGGTTCTGCGGCGAGAGGCCGGTGCGGGTCGCACTCACGGGACCCGTGGCGGT